TCCTCTAGACAGTTTTTAAACAGTTTTTAATTAGGTCTCTCTGGTTTGAAGAGCCCATTATGCTGGCGGCTACCTGGGGTAAGCTTGGTCGAGAACTGAAACACCAGCCACAGTGAGCACAATATAAGACCAATGTGAACAAAAGAAGAATGAAGACTAGAGTTAAGGCTTTTACTGACCCATCCCATGGTGGTGACAAATTAAGGACAAAGTCAAAAAAAAAAAAGGAGTCAGGATTAAGCATACCTCTCCAAACTTACCACCCTGCAGTTCTGAATCCGCCCCATCCGAGGGGTCTCCGCGGTGCCGGCGATGTTAACAAGTTCCCGGGTTTCGGCACCAGATGTCCCGAGCGATTGTCTCGCCAGCAAGAACACAGGACACTCGGATCCTTCTGCAGTAAAGCTTTAATGCGTCTTGAGAGAGAGAGCATAAGCTTACAGAGCGGAGACCCCAAGCCAAGAATCCCGTCCCCTAATAAAGGCTCACAAACTCTGAGCGATGCATGTACAGCTGAGATAGGTGGATGACTCATCACCCTATAGGCGGGGCTAGGCAAGTGGAAAAGCACTGGGCGCATGCATACCAATGTTGTTTACTTGATCCGGCAGCGGATGTCAGCGCCATCTTGTAATGGCGAATGTGAGTGCGGCTCCTCACATTTTCTGACTAGTACTTTTCCTGTGAGTGGTAACCAGGGCATGATCCCGGATTGATGATTTCATATCTGCAGCCACCATCTTCCTTGATTCTTTTTTTTTTCTTCTCCCCTGATGATACTGGACAGAGTCTCCATGTTTCTGGCCACTTGTGTATAAGAAGCCTTAGCTCACTTTGAAGTTACAATCTTACATGCAAGTCAGACCTGCAAACTCCCTGTGTTCCAAGGGTATGGAGGAAAAGGAAAGAGGGTAGTGTCTTGTCATTCCCCTCCTCCCACTGTTGAGTAGAATGGGGAGCATTGTGCATGAGTGTGTGTGTGTGTGTGTGTGTGTGTGTGTGTGTGTGTGTACATATTCATATGCACATATGCAGAGGTCAGAGATAGGCATTAATCCCTTCCTCAGCAACCTTTTGCTTTATTTTTTTAGACAGAATCTCTCACAGAACCTAGAATTCATTCAATCAGTGAGACTAGCTGGCCAGTGAACTCCATGGGTCTCTCTGACCCCTCCTTTTCTAGTGGTGGATTACAGGCAAACACTACCACACCCAATCTTTTGACATAGGTATTGGATGTCCAGACTGATGACCTCATTGTGTGGCAAACACTTGACTGAGCCATGTCCCCAGCCCCAACATGCTCTTTTTTATTTGCCTCCATTTCCTTGTCTTCCTGATCCTAGCCATCAGGTCTTGTTTCTAGCATTGCTTCTGCATTTGGTATGCCGGGGCTTTCCTCTTTCTCTGCCACTGTTCTGTTCTGTGTGCTCCTGGCCATCTCTGCTTTAAGATGTGTGGCTTTCTGGAGGAAGGTCATCTTCACCCAGATCCCCTCAGGCTGGGCTCATGCTTCCATGACCACTCTGCTGAAGCATTTCTCCTCCCACAGACAGCAATGCCACGGGCTCAGCATGATTTCTGCTCCCTCGTATAGAGTCAGTGCCTCCAAGGCACGCTCATCAGGACCAGAGGACCACGATGCACAACACACTCAGGGCCCTTCGTGTGAGTAGTTCTACAAGCTCCTCCCCACTTAGAGACTGAGACCAGGCCCTCCCTCTCTCGAATCCTCAGTAATCTCTTTATAATAGTTTGTTTACCCGGTGGTGACCATGGTAATAGGAGCTGCTTAGCTGCTTTTTGTAAACTCTGAGGGGATTAGTGGGCCCCAGTGTTGACAGCTGTCTTTAGACTGTGGAATATTTGCTGCCTCATATTTTCAGATGGATCCTCAAGGAAACAGTAATAGTCCCGCCCAGCATCTTCTTCTATAACCAGTAGCTCAACTCACTCAGCTGCAGGTATCCAAACATGAAGACAAAAGTTGTTTTTAAAAAAATCACTTTGTCTAATGCTATGTCCAATATTTGAAAATCTAAATAAACTTTGAAATGCACTAAAGCAAGATAGAAGCCTGGAAACACTCGTTGGCATGGAGTGCAATAATGTAGAATAAGCGAATTAAAAGCCCATTCTGAGCAAAATGTGAGTCGTGAGTGGGAAGACTGGGTTGCTTTCTTTTGGTTTCCAAGAAGCAGGAAAGAGGGTGGGAGATGGGAAGAATGGGGGGGGGGACAGGATAGGGGAGGGGAGAGGTGGAAGAGAAGAGAACTGTGACAAACAGTGAGGGACTCTTTGCTTTCGTTCTTGGCTTCCATGGACACCACGAGGGGCACTGCAGGCCTCTCTGGGGAGGGCTGGAAGTTGGCAAGCTTCCTTCATTCTCCAAACATGTTAGAGATGTGCCCTCTTCAAGAGGGACTGGTACCCATGGCTCGAGGAGGCAGCATTCCTGACCAGGGGAGACAGGAAGAAAGCAGAAAGGTCTCAAGTGTAGTCAACATTCTACCAGCAGCCCTCTTCAAGGTCCCTCCTCCTCTCTGCATGGCTCAGACATTTAAAGAAGAAAAGAGTTCAGTAAAGAAGACTTAGCCTACTGCAGTCCAAGAAAAGCGTTTCATCGTGAGAACCTAGATTTGCAGGTAAGCGCTGCCTACATTGTTCTTTGGTGATGTTTTAGTCTCTACTCTAGAGTCTAAATCAAGCTGACTTAAAATAGTCTCTTAAATTGAGCTGCTTTGCTTCTGACCACATCCCCTTTTTTTATCATTTTTTATTTGAATTAGAAACAAGATTGTTTTACGTGACAATCCCAGTTCCCTTCTCCCTCCCATCCTCCCCTACCACCGCCCCCAAATAAAACCCTACCTATCACATAGCCTTTCTTCTGTTCTTCACCTGACTCAACCTTTCTGCTCCCTCATGTCCTCTGCATCCTTCCTCTTCTCCCTTCTCATTCTCATAGCTCCCTCCCCCTCTTCCCATGCTCACAATTTGCTCAGGGGATCATGACCCTTTCCCCTTCTCTAGGGGACAATGTTTGTCTCTTTTAGGGTCCTCCTTGTTCACTAGTTTCTCTGGCAGTGTGGATTGGAGGCTGGTAATCCTTTACTCTATGTCTAAAATCCACAAATGAGTGAGTACATACCATGTTTGTCTATTTGTAATTGGGTTACCTCGCTCAGAATGGTTTCTTGTAGTTCCATCCATTTTCCTGCAAATTTCAAGATTCCATTGTTTTGTTTTCCACTGAGTAGTAATCCATCGTGTAAATGTACCACATTTTCTCTATCCATTCTTTGGTAGAGGGGCATCTAGGCTGATTCCAGTTTCTGTCTATTACAAATAGTGCTGCTATGAACATAGTTGAACATATGTCCTTGTTGTATGAATGTGCTTCTTTTGGGTATATGCCTAAGGTGAATTGCTGGATCTTGAGGTAGACTGATTCCCATTTTCTTAAGAAGTCCCCATACTGATTTCCAAAGTGGCTGTACAAGTTGGCACTCCCACCAGCCGGGGAGAAGTGTTCCCCTTTCTCCACATCCTCTCCAGCATAAAGAGTCATTGGTGTTTTTGCTTTTGACCATTCTGCCAAGTGAAAGATGGTATCTCAGAGTTAGTTTGATTTGCTTTTCCCTGATGGCTAAGGATGTTGAACACTTTCTTATGTGTCTTTCAGCCATTTTAGATTCCTCTATTGAGAATTGTCTATTTAGTTCTGAACCGCACTTTTTAGTTGGATTGTTTGGTGTTTTGGAGACTAGCTTCTTGAGTTCTTGTATATTTTGGAGATCAGCCCTCTGTCAGACCACATCCCCTTCTTTAACATTGGTTCTTCCACCGAAGCCTTGGTGGAAGCAACTGATTGCTGTCCTGCACACATTCTGTACTGTAGCTCTGAGGGGAGAGACTCAAAGGAGCGAAAAGGTATGTCCCTTCATGGGAGTATTACAGGAGTTAAGGGGGTAGCAGTGTGGGTTTGGATGTTGTGACTTTATCTTCGTTTGGAGTTTAATAAAATTCGTTTTCATGCTAACTGGTGACCAATCACTAGAGGCCAGCATCTTGGCCTGGCTCTTTTAGGTTGTGGTACATGGAAGACACTTCCTTCACTGTTTCCAACCCATGAAGAGGATGGACAGACGCGTGGTGAGGGGACCACTGTGTAAGCAGTTCGACTTGGAAAGAAAGAATGCCAGGCAAGCCGAAGCTCGACTCAGCCTGAGGCTGCAAAGGCTGGAGGTCATCTGCCTCTATCATGTGAAATCGCTGGCCAGGGAGCAGAGACAGCTTCAGAAAGAACTACAGCGGCTGCAGCAAGGTGAGGCCATGTCCTAACAGGTCACCGCTTAGGTCCTAAGGACACTGCCCCAGCTTCCCGTAGTAAGGAACAATCTACCACATGACATGGACAGGGACACACACAGCCTAGACCTGACCAGGGGAAGTGATGTGTTTGCCTCGCACCAGGGATAACCAGCACAAGCGCCTCTGTCTCCCTCTGGACTTAAGCAGGCCTGACCCACCTGGTCCTCCAAACCCCATAGCTCCTCCTGCTACCTGGTCCTCCATCTTCTTGAGCTGACATCCTCCAGGCTTCCATCACTGCCTTGTTTCCAATTTGCTCTCCCCTCCCCCACCCCAGCCTTGTTTGATTCTTCACACTGCCCTCTCTTCCCACTGTCAGAGCTGATTTGGTTTGACTCCTTTATCGTGGCTGCCTTTCTCTTCGAGATCTAGCGGCCAGTTATTGAACTGCTAAGGTATAAGCCACTTTCCTCACCCATTTTATGAAAGGAAAGTTAGAAAGAAAATCAGAAAAGCTTTCTCTGGGATTTTGACCTCTGACAAGGATATACAATTGACAATGCGCATCTTGTGAAATTATCCAAGCTTTCAGTGAGAATTTGGCTCGAACTTAAGCACAAAGCCTTTCTTAGATGTGACAACTTTAATTACTCAGGTCAGCTTGCAAGGGCCTTTCAGAATGAAACCTCCCCTGCTGTCTTGTTGGAAATGGGTTCAGCTGTGAGGATCATAGAAACCAGGGCTCCTTGTTCTGTTTGTTTGTTCTTGTTCTTGTTGTATTTGTTAAATAATTAGGTTTCAACATTCCTTCAAAGTCATATGGAGTCAGTAAACTCAGCTTCTCAGGACATCCCTGAGTTGAAACACTGACCTGGCCATTCTTTCTAATTTTCAACTATTTTTAATTACGAAATGGTCTGAACTAAACTCTGTTTTGAACTCTGCTGTGTACAGTGAGCGGTTAAGCCAACTTGGAGTAAGAATGATGCTGGAAAGGCATTTTAGAAACCAGTTGGTGGGTTCTCAGGTTAATTCTCAGACAGGACAGCTGAGAGTAGGTGTCCATGCTGGGGGTGGGGGGAGATCCGTAAAGGCCTGCTCGGCCCAGCACTGCAGCTACCCCTGCTGCACAGAGAGCTGTCTCAGTCACAGGTGTGTGGAAAGGGTCAGGACCAAGAGACAGACAACTTCGGAGGCCAAGGTCTCCAGGTTCTGCATCTCACATGGAACAGTCAAGTCACAGAAAGGAGAAGGAACCATTGTATATCCTCTTGGTGCTCTCTAGGTGCTGTATTCGGCTACAGTTTCCAGTGATTTATTTAATGGAACCGTTACCACTGAGATGCAACTGTTTGCCCATTAGTGGATTGCTTCCCATACATATTGTCAGCCCTCCTCTTAGAGAGTAGTATGATCAGTACAAAAAATTAGGCTCAAAATTCAGCATTCTTTTCACTGATGCTAAGATGAGTTATTATGGGTCACGTGCTTTTGTTTGATTGATTGGATGGTGGTTTGGCTGGCTGGTTGACTGTTTTGGCTTTTCGGAGGTGTTGACGTTGTTGTTATCATTGCTTTATTTACATTTTGTTTTGAGATACAGTCTTACTACATAGCCCAAGCTGCCCTCAATCTCAAGCTCTTCCTGCTCCAATCTCCTGAATTCCAAGATTGCAAATCCGTGCCTCCTACCTGACTACAGGTCAGGCTACTCAGATACTGGGATGGACATTTGGACAAATAAGGTCTCTTCACTTTGAGATGCTTGTTTACACTGTCAGATAGTGAGCTTTTATAAGGCTGGTTTAAAAAAAATCTGTGCCTTATAAATCCCATAAAATTTCTAAATGCTAAAAATGGAGTTATTCACAAAGTAAGGAGAGGGCACTGGAAGCCTCCTGTCCCTGTTAAAAGGATCTTATGAGAATTTCCCCAAAAGCTGGTGTGTGAGCAGAACCTAGGAGAAGAGGGAAGTGGTGAGTAGGAAGAGAGGGATTGCAGAGAGCTGTGGAGCAGGAGATCATTGCTGGAAGACAGGAAGAGCCTGTGCAAAGGGATAGGAATGGGTGTGGTTTGCCAAAAACAGTTCCGTGCTGCTGAAGTGTGTGTGAGCTTGCAGAACTCACACTAACCAGACGTTGTCTCCAGGCAGAGCTTCACAAGGCTAGATCCCACCCTGCAGGGTGCAGGGCGATTCCATATTCACATTTTAGAGAGATTGCTCTGACTACAGTGCTTCTGAGAAAACAGAGCTTAAGACATAGCCAGAGTAGAGCTGCTAGAATTCCAAATGTAGGCCTCGATGTAAAACCTAAACTAGAACACTGGCAGGAGGAGAAAATGGGGAGACCAGCTTTTCTAGACATTTGGAGAGAAGAATTGTCAGGTTTCCATGACTAATTACATGTCCAAGCATAAAAGAAACGAGAGCATATTGCCAGACTTGAAGTAGACCAGCAAATGTACAGGCTGAGTTGGATAACCAGATGGACACGCCACCACACCATTGAATCAGATAACCAGGTGAAGACGCCACCACACCATTGAATCAGATAACCAGGTGGACACAGCACCACACCATTGAATCAGATAACCAGGTGAAGACGCCACCACACCATTGAATCAGATAACTGTGTGCACACAGCACCACACCATTGAATCAGATAACCAGGTGAAGACGCCACCACACCATTGAATCAGATAACCAGGTGAAGACGCCACCACACCATTGAATCAGATAACCAGGTGGACACACCACCACACCACTGAGGAAAACAGAGGAAAATTAAGCCACCCTGTTGTCTCAACTGCAGAAGAGGAGCCTCCTAGAAAAGTAGCTGCTCAATCCTTTAATTTATTGGAAATGGGTTCAAAAAAACATGGAAAATACTTCAAAATAATCCCAAGAAGATAAGAAAGCAAAGGACTCAAAGAAGTGATGAGATGAGTTTCACGTGATGTCCATGCCCCTTGCATGGTCCCCTACCCTTGCTCCCACTGCCTCGTACATTTTAATGCAAGAGGGTACTTTGGGGAGTGGGGGGTGTCTTAGGTCCGTTTGCTGGTGGTTATGTGTATGTTTCTTTGTTATTCTTGGCTGGTATTTTTGGTTTGGGTTTAGTGGATGGGAAGCCAGGCCTTCATGCATGTATAGCAAGTCATCTACTACCAAGAAACACCCCTAGCCTTAACCACTGTAACTTTAACAGAGTGCCATCAAAGCACAAACCAATGCAAAATTTTCTATCCCAAATGACTCAGTCTCAAATGCCTTGAAAACTAATAGAGTCAGTGTGCTCTCTTCAGGCTGTGACTGTGAGTGACTGGAACATCAACTGGGAAAATGGAAAGTCCACTTACTTAATCATGGCCCCTGGCAGTCGCAAACCCTTGCCACGGGTAGCAGGAAGGCATACAACTGTATTAAACAGACAAAATGTCCACACCCAGCTGTTTTCTTTTTTAAACACTTGTGCTTGCCAAGTACAACATTCAAACAAAGCCCACCAGGGTTGGGCAGTTGCAACATCTCATCTTGGTGTCTAAATCCTCTCTGACATGTTCTGGGCAAACAGCAGCTGCTGCAGGAAGCTTTGTTGTTTTCATACATTGCATTGGAGAAGGGTAACGTGTGGGGAGACCCAGGATCTTCACACACTCGCTCTCTGAAAGCCCAGCCTTCACTCTCCTCTTCTGTTGTACTCATTTTCTAGACTGCACAGAAAATTACCAAAACTGGCGCAGCTCAACCATAGACCTGCGCTGTCTCTCCTCTGAAGCTTTGAAGTCAAAGTGGGAGTGTGAGCAGGGTTTCCTCGGGTGTGAGGCGGAAGTAGACTTTCTCTTCAGTGTGTAGGCCACTGGTCCCTTCACTCTTCCGTCTTTGCATGTCCGCTCCAACTGCTACTGTCATAAGGATGACATCACAACGGTTAGGACCTACCATAAATGGCCTTTGAATCATATCTATAAAGAGTCTATCTCCAAATAATGTCACAGTCTCAAGAACTAAGGACTAGGACCCCAATAAATGAGGTTTTACACAATTCAGTCTACATTAACTCATTGCGATCTTTATTGTATTTGTGTGCACATGTGTCTGTTTGTATGTCTGAGTGAGTGGATGCAAGTGCTGACAGACACCAGAAGAGGGTGCTAGATCTCTTGGAGCTGGAGGTAAAGGTGTTTGTGAGCCATGGGTGTATATAGCTGCTGAGATCCAAACTCTTGGTCCTCAAGGTAGAGCATCGAGCACTCTTAACAGATGAGCCATCCTTCTAGCCCATGGTTTGTTAATTATCTCATAGCAGATATCATCAAGAAAAAGTTCTCCTCTCGTGTGGAGAGTGGAATTCAGAAGAGATCGAGAGATGGTGTCACATTCAAAGCACAAACAGGTCAGAGGCACATAGTCCCGGAGCCTGAAATTAGGTAAGAAAATGATGACGTGTTTGGGTCATCCCACTTCCCTACCAATAGCTGTAAAACGCATAAAAGGAAGGAGCAAAAGATCTCGTGAGGGAATTAGTCTCCAGGCACACTGAGGACAGGACAGCCCTTTCAGCCTGAAGCAGACATAAGAGCTAGTGGCTTTGCTTCTCTAATCGCGAAGCTTGAGGCCCAATGTCTGTCTCTGGGCTTATATATTTTTTGTGTTACATCCTTCCTAGAGAGATACTCTTCTGCCCCTCACCCTCCACCCCTTCCCAGGCACTTCACCACCTCAACTGAAACCACACACATAAATGGAAAGGCCTGAACAAGAGCCCCTTCATTTTTCAAAGACATTTATTTCTTCCTTTTCACCTCCCCCACCTCAGGGTACTGGCAGCCAATATGACCCAAGAAGTTAAAACTAAGGTTCAGGGGCCCTCTTTACATGACACTGCCCTCAAAGACGCCCTGAAAAGCCCAGAGCACCTGCAATGTCAACGTGACAGAACCAGCTGCTGCAAGAAAGAGAATTCACAAGCCCGGGAGGGAGAGTCTGCAAAGTCACTTAAGGGCATGGACCCCAACAAGGATGTCTCTGCCCTGTGTCATGGCCAAGAGGTCTCCACCAACAGCACAGAAGACAGCCCTGTGTCCAGCCCAGACGATGACAGCGGGTCTGCATCTGCAGATGAGACCATATCAAAAAACGCTGGTCGAAAGCCACATGGGGATGCTGAGGACCAAAATGCCCCGAGCTCTGTGCATTGTGCAGAGAGCTCCAAAGGCAAGTGCACAGAGCCAACCTTCCTAGAGTTGTTTGCAAAAGCCAAAAATGCCCACTATCTCCGCCACAGGGTGCCCCCTGAGTCTGAGAGGTTGCTTAGTGTTGGGGAGATATTTGGACATGGAGGCTCCTCACTACCCAGAGAAGGGAAAAAACTGTGAAAATAGCACCAAGTTTCTTCCTCCCTGGCTGTGTAATGTAGCCTGGCAGTAAGGTACCATAACAACTACGGAAATTCAAACCTTAAATAGTTGCAGTAAATAATCAATGCACAGAAATAAACAGAAATCCTGACAACTTTCTTTTGCATCCGTAGGGCCTCCTGCCCTTTTATATGGTCTTTCTCATAATAAACTTTCTTATAATAAAGGCTGCTGTGAAAGGGAAGAAAGGGGAAATAATGTGGAAATATTTTAAATTGAGAACCTGGATTTGTTTTGATGCAGACAAAGTCTTGTTAGTTCAAAGATCCTTCTTATAGAAGAGGTGTTTATAGCGCCACCTGCTGGTCAAATAGCATAGCTAGTCGCCTTGTTTCATTTCCTCGGGTTTGCATGGGAACCCAACTAAAACTATGTACAGTGATACAGTCTACAAATAAGACCTGTTCTTGCCACAGTTATGTACTCTTTTTAAGCTCCTTCTCTTTTTCTCTTTCATTCTTTCTCTTCAACTCCCTCTTCTTCTATCCCCTTCCCTTCCTCTCCCTCCTTTCCTTACTTTCTTTCTGCCTTTTCCAGTAGTTGCAGCTGAGTTTCTCTTTCCCGGTTTTAACCTCAATTCCGAACGTTTTGAGATCCTAATGAAAGAAACGAATCTGTGTCCTTTCCTTTCCTCCCTAATCAAAATATCTTAAAAATTTCCAGCACACTATCGATGTTATACCAGATCCACTCAGTAACGAACCCTCTCGAAGCGAGAGAGTGATTTCCACTTAAAAATTGGTTTAAGCTAGTGTGGTACCACAAGTTTATAACCCCAGTATCCCAGTATTTGGGAAACTGAGGTAAGAGGATTTACAGAGGCCAGTATGAGCCACATAGCGAGACTCTGTCAAGAAAAACTCCCTTAGAAAAAACAAAGACCACTGTTTTAAGTAAGCAGAACTGCATAACATTCATCCCACTGTAAATTAATTGAGTAAACTTTGTTTCCCACCCAGATGACCCAAATTTCACATTTAAAACAAATAGTGTCATACGTCATCAGAGAACAACAGCTGTGCTTTAATCCTATTGCTCACCAAATTCATACCAAATTGTCACTTTTATCATCTAATTGTCACTTACAATGACTTCATCAGAAAAACTAGCTTGTAGTTAGAAACACAAGGTCAGGTAGCAACTGTTAGATTCAATTTTTCAACCTTATAGCAAATTTGGACACTAGAAGAATAAATTCAGTACCTATATATTTATTTTGAACATATTTGTTTACTTTGAATTAAAATATTTTGAGACAGAGGTTAAACTATGCTGTCCTGGGTTGGCCCTGAACCCCCCGAGGTTCAGTGACCCTCCTGCCTCAACCTTCTGAGGAGCTGGGGTTGCAGGCTCTTACCACCAGAACCTATTTACAATTAGGCAAACATATTTGTTGTAGTCTAGCTTGAGGCTATCTTGAAGAAATAAAACTATTTATATCAAAGATGATAAAGGACCCAGTCTTCTAATACTAAAGCTCCTAGGGATTAAATTAATTTGAATTTAATGACAAAGTATGAATTAATTGCATTTAGTTTAATAACACAATTTAATTCCCATTTGAGATGCCTGGTGTTTAAGTTCATAACTCATAATAGCTCCCATTTCCCAGCACCTCCCGCCGTCCCGAACTTTCCACACAGTATACCAATTCCAATTGCTCCTCAGAATTCCACAAAGACTTTACTTTTAGTCCTCCTCTTACAGATGAACAGAGCAGAGAGCAGAGCAGAGCAGAGCAGAGCAGAGCGTGTCCTGGTCTCCACACTGTCTTCTGTCACACTCTCTCCATCGACCTCACTACCATCTAGCTGAAGACAAAAGCCTGGCTCAATCTTGCAAAATCCAGTTTTTTTAGCCCAGGCTTTGGTCGTCAATGACAAGGCAATAGCTATTGGCAGAAGTAACACGAGAAATCTCCTTTCAGGGTGTTCTCTAATGGGGAAGGCAGGTCACGGGCAAAACTGAATGATTCGCAAATTATTTACACTGGTCATGAAGGTAGAGCCTTCCAGTCCAGGGAGCCCCCTTTACGAAGTGCCCAAGTATGGGGAGAGATGATGCGTCTCCTCTCCCTGTTGGAAAAAGCCTTCCCCTTCACTGTGTTACCCAGTTTCCTTCTGTGCGGAGTGCGTCTGTTCACTGTATTACCCGAATGCCTTCTATGCGGATGGCAACTCCTTTCTGCCCGGAGGCAGAGGCATCTGGACACTCGAAGGCGACGCCTGGGCCTCTCTCCTCAACCTGCTCTAAGCTGTAACAGGCACTCCATCAGTTCTGCAAGGAGGACTTAAAGCTGATCGAGAACAACAAAAAGAGACGATGGCTCAGTGGGTAACGAGCTTGCTGTGCAAGCATGAAGACCTGCGTGCAGATCCCCATCGTCCGCATAAAGCCAGGTGTGCCCGAACACACGTGGAAACGCAGCACTGCGGGGAGGTGGGGTGGAAACAGCTAGAGCCCAGGGGCTCGCTGATCATCTGGTCTGCCAGAAACGGCAAGGTTCAGTGAGAGACCCTGTCTTGAAAAGTAAAGTGAAGAAACGATCGAAGAAAGCGCTGGACTTTGGCTTCCACCCTCTCCGGCCTGAGTAAACACAGGTGACACCTAGTGAATGAATATATGCAAAAATAAAAACATTTAAAGCAAAAAATGCAAGGAAGTATCAGGCCAATAGTAAGTGATACTGATGGCAGCTACTGTCGGAGAAAAGTGGTAGCCATCCTGTTTCCTCCTCACCAAGCTGACACTGTCCAGTTTTCAGGTAGAGAGGCAGATACTGAGTCCCATTTATTATCAAGATTATAGAAGTTACCAACAGTTCAAGGTTGATTCAGCCTGCTGTGTCTAGGTGAGATTCTAAAATCCCAAGAAAGTTCCTTGCCCAAAATTAAAAACAAAAAAAAACATATTTATTACACAATCCTCATCTCACTTGTAGCTTAGAGTAAGGATCACTTGAGATGCCTAGGAAACAGTCTTACCTGACTGGGCATTACACGAAACACACCCTAAACTTCCCCCACCACCTTCCTACCAATACTATGAACAAGTTTCTGCTAAGTGTCCTGATAGTAGCCATCAATCGACTGGAGTACAAATTAACTTTAATATAATTAGTCATGTGATTTTCGAATGGCTTGAGTTTAATTCTATAAAAATTGTTCCATGGAATTGAGCAACAAGGAAACCTAATCAAACTCTACATAACACATATCCATTTGACCCATCCTGACATGATCACTGTCATTGTTGGGGTCACTAAAGAGAAAAATTCTCTATTCAAAATTTAATCTGTAATAAACAGAAAGTGTGTGTAAGCTTTGTATAAAGTTAGTTTGCCAGAAAACTTAAATGTATATTCTTGCCGAGGACTCTCTGCCTCCTCACTGGAAGGAGACAAAGGATGTTAACTAAGTTGGCCAAACTGACACACCTCATTGCTGGTGAGAGGGGAAAGACAGCAACCAAGTGCATTCCTGCTCATCGTCAACCATTTCCTTCTTAGCTTCCTCTTGAACTCCAGAAAATAGGAAGCTATGATGAGAATTCCCAGTGTGTCTGGTGTTGGTTCTGTAATTTAGCTGTACACGAGGCTGGTGATGGATCAGGGGTTAAGAACCCACATACTGGGGGGAGGTGAGCTCTCTTCCTTCTCTCCCTAGTGAAAAGGAAGCTTTCACCTTTACCCCATCTCCTGGCAGCTAGCCTCAGAAGCAGGATGTATCCCAGGGGGCCGCCCTCTGCACAACCCTGCCACATCGTCGACCCCAGCAGGCTCAGAAGGTCTGTCTGTCCCCAGCCAGCCCAGTGGCCTCCTGAAGCTGCAGAGGCTGTGAAGGGAGCCAGACAACGACAGACCATGGAAGCTGGGGTGTTGAGCAGGTTCATCAGAGAAAGGGAGAAGGTTTGGACGTAGACAGGAAGGGATTTTAGAATGTGTGTAGAGGCTAGAGAGAGGAGCCAGCAGTTACGAGCATGGACTTCTGGAGGACCAGGTGTCTATTCCTAGCACCCACATGACAGCTAACAGTTGTCTGTAACTCCAGTTCCAGGGGATCCACCTCCCCCTTCTGGTCTCTGGGGTACTTCACACACATGGAACACAGACATGCATACAGGCAAAACACCCACACACATAAAACAAAACTTAGAAAGTAAATAAATGAATTTAGTTTTACATCTGCATGGTGTTTTCCATATGCTCCATTTCCTTAAGAGAATATGACCATGCCATGCACTCATGCATGGGAATGCACATGCGCGCGCGCGCGCGCGCACACACACACACACACACACACACACACACACACCACTTTCTTTAGGAATAAAAGTAAAGAGAAGCACCCCACGCTTCCACAATGGCTCACTATAGAAGTTCACACCCGCAAAGTGGTGGCTCTCAGCAGGCTGGTGGGAGGTGATTATTTTAGGACCTGTGGGCGAATGGTAATCCTAACACAGTTTGGATTGGTTGCTCTTGCTATACAGCCCAAGCTAGTCTCAAACTCAAAGTCCTCCTGTCCAGCCTCCTGAGTGCTGGGTTATTACATTTGGTGACCGTTATTTTTTTTTTAAGCTCCATAAAAATTTTGGTACAGGTTTTGCCAGTGTTTTCATGTAAAGGAAATGAGTCAGGTAAGATTTGGGTGCCTGGAATAGATATATAGGAAGAGAACAGGCCAGAGCAAGCCTGGCAGCTTCTCCAGGGAAGACACAGGACAGGTTAGCTCACTGCCGATGCCATCCCCAGGAAATGAGCCTCGTGTGAGCATACAACCCACAGGTCTGAGCTGGCTGTCCCCAGTAGCAGGTCTGTCTTTACAGCAGAAGCACTGCCTATCAGTATCCTGTTAAACAGTGAACAAAAACCCTGCTGTAGTGAAAGTCCAGTAGGTGCCCTACCCACAAAGTCAAAACTTCCATAGTTATATTCACAGCATCAAGGTGGGTGTCTC